CACACACACACACACACACATTACCTTCCTCAGACTTTATATATATATATATGAAGGAAATTAAACTGATAAATAAACATGCACTCTCCTCTCTGCTGCCTCTGGTTAATGATAACTGAAAAATACAGTTTTAAACACTATGCTACTTACAAATTAAATGAATATAATCCTAGGACCTTGAACAAATATATTTCAGCTAAAGAATAAATGAGCTCAATTGAAGAGGTTTATATTGTGGCCCCAGACTTAAACCATGCTTATATAGATTCTATTATAAAACCCTTCTAAGAGTGTACTCAATTAAGGGTCACAAGGACAAAAATAATGCACACAAGCAACAGAAAACATTTTAACGCTCTTACCAACAATGACTTTGTTGGACTTTAACTAATTTAAACCATGAGGATGATGTAGCTATGAGAACATCAAAACTGTTACTGAAACGTTTAAACAGCCCCTGCCCAGATTTACAAATTAAATTACAAAAATAGCTTTTTCAGATCATGCTAAGCTTGAAACTAAAGGGAGTTTAAGCAACATACCTCCCTGAAATGTGTGACAAATGTAATCCCCAAAAGAAACCTCTTTCCACACTCCGGGCCTTCTGACACTTCCTGAAACTTCAACATTCTTCTCATTTTCCCCAGTTAATTGAAGCATTCTGATGCTTCGTCTTTGGAGGTCTTATTTCCTTGGATAAGACTGCCGTTATCTAATGTCTTCAAAGTCATTTAGTGTATTCTAATCACAAAGCGCCGGTCTATTTTGAACGAGAACCCTAGATGCAAATAGAAATGGATACTAGATAAAGACTGATGTAATCCTGGAACCCTACGAACACTAAAAACACATAGGGAAATTCCATACTGTTTATGAATAAATACTCCTCTATTAAGTGAGGATCCTGGCAGGGACGAGGATGTCTGATTCATTTACTTTTGTAGCATCTCACTACAATTAAGTGGATCATTACACTAAGTTCTACAAAGCAGGAGACTTCAAAATGTTTTACCTCGATGTTGGCATTTCATATAATAACCTTTGTTTGCAATGCTTTGCATGGTACTGAGTATAAATGGGTTTAGTAAAAGGTTTTTCCTTATAGTGACAAGTGGCTAATCAATTCGGATTGCAAATGACAGCACCAAAATAAATACAGCTTGCCACATTTGCTGCTTTAAATCAAATTTCTTGGTCATTCTATTTCCTGAGGAAACTCAGGTTTGTTAAAGTGCATTGTTAAAATTTGATTAAAATATTAAAGACAATAATCCTAGATAAGTAATTCTTTAGGTTAGTAGAAATAAGGTTTCTCAAAATACTTTCAGAAAGCCACTACTTTAATTACTTCTTAAGTAGTAACTCTTAACTGAAGAACTAACTTGCAAAAACTAAAGCTGAAAATAATTCAC